CTAGGGCTCTGTCCCTGAGGAGACAGGTCTCCGCTTCCCCTTGCAGTACAGAAAGACGATGTATACCCACACCCCCTGCCTGTCAAACCTCACTTATTTCTCCCCCTGATCAGCAGTCAGGCAGTCCCAGCAGAGCAGGAAGTTAAAATCCACTTGGTATCACCCACATCTAGCTTCCCAGACAACTCGCTTCTTGTTTCCCAGAGTCACAGGTCCAGCGCCTCTTGCTGAGAACTGAGCCCTCACAGCCAGAGCTCCTCCCCACCCCCCACAGCACCTCCAGCTAGGGGCCTGGCCCCACAGCCAGGGCTCCTGCTCCACTCCCCATAGCCTATCCTGGTTCACAAGGCTGCTGTATGTGCCTTCTCCAAGTTCCAGCGTGGACCCGGTGCTCTCAGCTCTGACTCTGGTTGCTGTGATTGGCTTCCTCTGCAGGTGGATGAAGCGGCCTCGCTGCGGTGTCCCAGATCAGTTTGGAGTCAAGATCAAAGCCAACATGCGACGGAAGCGGTACGCGCTCACTGGGCGGCGCTGGAGCCAAACCCACCTCACCTTCAGGTACCAGCAGGCCCAGACCCCAGCTCCTCGCCATCTGCATTCTCAGTCACAGATCATTGGGGGCCAAACACATGACACAGGGCACATGGCTCACCACATGTTGCCTTGCACCAGTTGCCCAATGGGGTAATTCCCTTTGCCCCTGGGAACCTTGCACCTGAGGAACAAGTGTGATGGGACAGTGGGCCAGGCTGAAGACCAAAATCCTTTATGCAGCAGGGTTGGCATCCAACTGCCATGCATCAGCCTGCTGAGGGTGAGTATTTGAACTGACAGTGCACTACTGTGCATGGCCTGGTCCCACAGCAAATCCAGCCATCGCACCCTGGGCTGAGTGCCGGAATCTCGGTGGCTGCCGTGTTGGCCTGCATGGGCTCTGCACTGCTGTCACCCTGTGGCTTACTCAGCATAGCACTCTGCTGTCTGGCAGGCTCTGAACCAGATTCTCAGATGCCATGAATTGGCTTTGCTAGAGCTAGACCGAGTTACACCAGCCAAGGAACCAGACAGCTATTGTCAGCCTCAATGACTGTTCCCTGAGAAAGATGTTCTGGGGCCTGCTTGCTGCCTGCCCTTTTAAGATGTCACATGGCATGAAATAAGACCAAGGAGTGTCCGAAGCCCTCTGCCAGGGGACTCAGACAAGAGATAACCTTTCCCATGACATTTACTGGGATACCATGAAGGAGAGGGGCCAGGCATTCAGGACATTGTAGTCTCTGATTTAGCCCATGGGTCAAGTGTGTCTCTGTCCTCTAGTGAACCACAATGCTGTGCTACCCTCGACCTGCCCCCTGAAGTCAACAGGACTTTGGACATTGATATCCCTGGAAGTAGGATCAGTTCCCCCATCCGTAGCTATGATGGAGGGGTCTGCTTTGGAACTGGAGTTCCCAGGTGTGGTCTCAGGTGATGATCTAATGAGGGCTGCAGCTCAGATTGTATTATAACAGGACAAATTAATGATCCCTTGCTAAATCAGCTTTGAGCTAGATACGACTATCCATCCCCTGGCAGGCAGCAAGGCCCAGACATTGAGGTACTGAGCTAGCATGTGGGAGCTGGAACTAGAAGCCAGAGTGAAGCTGACCAAGTGTTCCTGCTCCCTGGGTTTAGTGGAACAGAGTCCTGCCCATAGTTTCCCACTCTAAAGAGCCCTCTCTCCCTGTGTTTATGTGCCCTCAGCATCCAGAACTACACAGAGAAGCTGGGGTGGTACCACTCATATGAAGCCATTCGCCGAGCCTTCAGGGTGTGGGAGCAGGCCACCCCTCTCATCTTCCAGGAGATTCCCTATGATGATATCCGGAACAAGAGGAAGAAGGAGGCTGACATCATGGTGCTTTTTGCCTCTGGCTTCCATGGAGACAGTTCCCCTTTTGACGGCGTGGGGGGCTTTCTGGCCCACGCATATTTCCCTGGCCCTGGGATGGGAGGGGACACGCACTTCGACTCAGATGAGCCCTGGACACTTGAGAACACCGAATTGTCTGGTAAGGCAGGATGTCCCCTTGGCATGGCTGATGAGAAAGTGTGCGAGAAGTTAGGATAATCCCCAGACATACTCCAGGTGGGAGATTCAGGGGAAGAAGGATTGTCTTTGCCTAGAGCACAAGTTGGTCAGCACTCCTGGGTTCTGCCTCCAGCCCTGGGTAGAAGTGGATCTAATCTTGACAACAGGGAAACTGGGACACGGAACTCCTGCGTTCAAGTCTTGGCTTAGCTGCTGACTCTGGCAGGTTTTGGAAGCAGTAGTGCCAGTACAGCTGCAGGGAATGAGGCATCAACAAGGTTTGGGTGTATTTAACACCCTACCATCTAGCTTAGCAGGTCTGGCTAGATCTGGGATTTTTAGTCTCAAACCACTGAGCCCCATATTGATGACACATCTCACTAGCAGCTACACAACCCAGTTGCCAGCTTCAGCGTTTCTATTTAGCAGTTTAGCCAGTACTATTAACCTTGCCACCTCCCACCTGTCCAGCCCCAGTTATGGTCAGGTACTTATTGAGAAGGGCCTAGTATTGGTTAATTTCTATCCTGGTCACCAGCATGCAGAACATGGCCTGAAAGGGGCAGTCAAAGGAGTCACTTCTGGTGGCTGCCAGAAGGACACTGAGTGAATGGAATAACATGGATGTATTACTGGGATGATGAGTTCAGGCCTGTTGTCCTCACTCCAGAGGAGAGAGTGGTTCAAAAAGGAGTTGCAGCAGTGATGTGAGGCCTGGGAAGCCTGAGTGGGAAGTGAGGGACTAGAGGAACTCCATTTACTTCATTTGCTCATGAGGAGCTGATATAGGGACCATAAGCCAGTCAACAGGGACTGAAGTGCAGGTGCAGTTTCTGGTAACAGTCTTTAATCTGGTTATGCTAAAAAGCCATGACAGGAAGCAGTGGCTGGAGGCTGAACCCAGAACCTGAGACTAGAAGTAAGGTGCTGATTTTTAACAAATGAAGATAATTAAGCAGTTGAACAATTGGGTGTGTGGTGGATCCTCCATCGTTTGGTGCCTTCACATTAAGACCAGCTGTTTTCCTAAAAGATCTGCTATAGCTCAGTCCCAAAATTGAAGGCCAGAGGTACGAGTCACTGTGTCGGCTCATATCCTAACCCAAGACAGGACCATTTCTTGTGGCCTAGGCACTTTGATTAAGAAAAGCACTGGAGAAGGTGCAGTCTGCCCTTCATCCAAATGCACATAGTCATCTCCATGGGAAAGTGGGAACCCTAGGAGAGGAAGTCCCTCCCCAGACACAAGTGTGTCAGGGAAAAGATGGAAAAGAACATTACATCCCGCCAATGCTGAGATGCGGGAGACCTAAGTGTTGGGTCCAGTCCCCCAGCTTGCACATAGTTCTGCTACTAACAGTGCTGTTCTCTGTCCTAGGGAACAACCTCTTCCTGGTGGCCGTCCATGAGCTGGGGCACTCGCTAGGGCTGGAACACTCCAGCAACCCCAGTGCCATCATGGCGCCCTTCTACCAATGGATGGACACGGAGAACTTCCAACTGCCAGAGGATGATCTCAAGGGCATTCAGCAGCTGTACGGTGAGAGAGGCTAGGCCATGTCCACACTAACAGCCAGGCACCTGGCTTTCTGCATGGCCCTACTAGATGCGGCAGGCCAGAGGGGAGATAGGAATGCCCAGCCCAGCTGGTATTTGTGCATGGCTCTGCATTGGCATGTGTGTCTGTGTCCGGGCACAAAGATAGTCACAGCTTACAGTGGGCTGGGATGGGTGCTGCCCCCCCGAGGCTGGAGTGTGGGGGAGCTTTCAGTGGGTCAGGGAGGCACAGAAACTCCTCTTGGCTCTTCTGCTGCAGGGGATAATGCTCTGTTGTGCCCCTGCCCCTTTTTCCTGGGAGGAGGTGTTTCCATGTCTATAGGGGCAGTAAGTGTCCAGAGTCTGTCTGCTAGTGGCTGTAAAGGCCAGGGGCAACACTGGGAGGTTGTAGCTAGGATAGAGAGCACACGTCACTGCTCTGCTGAGATGTGACATGAGCACTGTGCTGCTGACACATCAATTCTCCTGTAGTTATGACAGGCACCTGCACTCTCAGAGTAGCAGGCTCTAAGTTTTCCCCTTGCTGCCTCTGTGCAGTCCCAGCTGCCAGTGCCTGTAAGGTTGTTTCCACACAGCCTGTTGGGTCCTGGCCAAGCTCAGGAGGCTTATTTTGATACTCTCGTGCAGTTGCTCACTGTCTCCTTCCCCTTCTCTGCCTCAGGTACCTCTGATGGAAGGCCTCAGCCCACCAGGCCCCTCCCAACTGTGACACCCCAGAGACCCGGAAGGCCAGATCATAGACCCCCCAGGCCACCTCCCCCTGGTAAGCCAGACCGGCCCCCAAGACCAGGCAGCCCAGACCACCCCAGAACCACGGACCGCCCTGACCAGTATGGGCCAAACATCTGTGACGGGGACTTCGACACCGTGGCTGTGCTACGCGGGGAAATGTTTGTGTTTAAGGTATCAGGTGCTGTCTCCCCTCCATTTCCCAACCCTCTGTCCCTCTAGATCACTTCCTCTCTATTCTCTCCTCCTTTCTCCATCCCTGGCATTTTCAACAGCAACCCCTGAGGTCCCTTCCAACCCTGCAGTTCTGTGAGCATGCCCTGCACTATGCTGACTGGAGTCATTTTCCTCCCCCTTCACATTTTTTCTGTACACCTTGCAGCCTATTACTGAGACCCCCTGGGTGCAGGGAGGGGAGGCAGGTGGGGGAATTTGCTCCAAGCTGCTCCCATGCCAGCACCGGATGTGAACCGCCAGCCAGAACCTAGAGCAAGCCAAGCCTTTGCACTGTGTGGGTAGAAGACCAATGCAGTGACAGGCTATATTCCACCACACAGATGGGCCCAGGGTGGGTGAGCGAGCTGCCCCAGCTCCTACTACCCCAGTAGCTTCTGCTGAGTCTTGGGGCCTGGACTCTCAAGGCAGGGAGGAGCAGAAGGGACTATTACGACCATCCAGCTGATGCTGTTTTCCTATAGGGTCGCTGGTTCTGGAGAGTCCGCCATAACCGTGTGCTTGACAACTACCCCATGCCCATCGGGCACTTCTGGAGGGGCCTTCCTGGGGACATTGATGCTGCTTACGAGAGACACGATGGCAGATTCGTGTTCTTCAAAGGTGAGGGACTTGGCCGGGGGGCGGTAAAGGAGTTTTCAGCACTGTGTGTGACTATGGAGCTTAGTGTTCCTACACTGGGTAGACTTCCTACCCCCAAGGCTGCCAGTGCCCTCAGTCTTGGCCCTCTGGGACACACACACACACTCACAGACCATTGGTGGTCCACGGACTACAGTGTGAGGACCTCTGTTCTAGACCAAGCTTCCCCTCCACCCACAACTATCCCAGTCCTAGGCTGCTCCCAGGCATCAGGCCTCCAACTCTGAAGCAGAGCGTGGTGGCTTGGTGAGGTGGACACTAAGCTGAAATGCTCCCTTTCCTTGTTAGCAGTTTACTTGGAGTTGGTGCTACAGGACCATGTGTCTCTGGGTTGCTATCTGTCTCCCTGTCCTGTCCCCCTCTCCCCCACCCACCCCTCCAGTGACAGGCCCAAGGCTGAAGCCAGTGCTACTATTCGTTCCCCAACATACAGGCCACAGCCCACCCTTCCACTATCTCAGTCTCTTTGTGTCCAGGACAGATCAGTGAATAGAGAGTGTTCCTGGCTGTTGGTAGTCTGGTCCCTCCTGCCAGTGACCTAATGCACAGCCCCAGAGTCTTGAACCCTGAGCCCTGGCAAGGCTCCATGAAGACAGAATGGCAGGGAGGTTTGCAGGACTCAAGGAGAGCTCTGGCAAGGCTCTTGCTGCCAACCATCCGGGCACTAGGACAGTTCCTGAGGTGAGGCTGGGGTAGGAGGAGCCCTGGGGGTGGCACTGTAGGCTGTGGGTCAGGGCCAGCTGAAGATGCTTCAGCAAAAAGATTCTGCATCACAGAGGCCAAGCAGGGTCAGTGCTGGGAAGCGGTTGCTGAGCACAGGCCCAAAGGGTTTAGCTGGGTCTGCCTGCAGCTCCCCTGGAACAGAGAATGTCCCAGGAGGCTGGAAGTGAGGGGGCTGCACTCCGTGTGTGCTGGGTGGAGGGCAGGATGACTTATGGGGACACACGCACACGCATTCATAGGTTGCATCTCTTGCCCTCCCTTCTCGGCCTTATCTTGTCCTGTTTCCTTGCCCAGGGGATCGGTACTGGCTATTCCGAGAGGCAAACTTGGAGCCGGGGTATCCACAGCCCCTGACCAGCTATGGGCAGGGCATCCCGTATGACAAAATCGACACTGCCATCTGGTGGGAGCCCACAGGACACACCTTCTTCTTCCAAGGTGACAGGTGGGTTGGACCTGCTGTGAAATGGGGCACTGGTGAACCACATAGATGGGGCTTCCAGGGCCAGGGGGCTGAAGGAGCAATCCAGGATGACCTTGTCCGAGGTCCAGTTGTTCCCTATTGTATGTCCCCAGTGGCTTTGCCCAGCTTGGAGTATGACATCCCAAGCACTGCTCCTTCCTTTGCTTCCCCCAGGTAGCCATGCTGCAGCTCTGGGGGTCTTCTCTTGTGAAGTTCTGGCCTGTCAGGACACATAGCAACCACCCCTCTCTGCCCCGGGACAGCAGTACAGTGAAGATGATGGAGCCCTGGCAGGAAACAGAAAATGGGAGCTGAGGGTCTGAAACCCAAATGCCTGGGAGTGTCACTATGCTGGGAACTGTGAGGACAGGAAGCTTTTGTAGGGAGTGGGAGAATCTGGACTGAAAGTGAAATGGGCCGGACAGGGTAGGGAGAGGGAGGAAACAGGCTGCAGCAGGGGAGGAAGGTGCTGGCTTTGTTCTTACCAGCTCCTCTACCCTAGAGAGGATCCTGGAAAACAAATACTTGCTGCCCTCTGGCCAGGGCTCTTATCTCACTCCTGAGGTGCTTGCCCAGCAGCCTGGCTCATCTTCCTGCAGAAAGGTAGATCCAGAGCGGGAGGTGTTGGTGTATCACCCCCTCTGCTGCTGACCTCCGCTCCCCACCCTGCTCTGCCCCCACAGCACCGAGGAGCAGAGCACAGTATGGAGCAGTCTCTCCTCCATGGGTCATCTCTGGCTTGGCAGGATGGAGCTCCCTTAGGGGCGCTGTGACTGAAGCATAGACCTGGGATTTAGGATACCTGGGTTTCCTTCGTGGTTCTGCTGCTGGCTGGCTGAGTGCAAGTTGCTTCACCCGTCTGTACCTCAGTGTCCACTACTGAACAGCAGCGACAATGATGCTGCATGCAGGGATGCTGCGAAGTGCCTGAATCCTCAGGGCTGCAGCACATGCCACTGGCAGGTGGTCAAACTGGGATGGGGCATGGCCAGGGCATCCCACGGAGCTGCCTGAGATCTGAGTGGGTGAGGTGCTCCCTGTTGGCCCTCAGCATCAAAAACTAGTACACTAGCCCAGCTTCCTCTGGGCAAAGGTACTGCAGGGACTGTGGGCAGTATGGATCTGCTGAGTTGTGTGCATGTCACTCACAAGGACATCCATTCTCATGCAGGTACTGGCGCTTTAATGAGGACACCCATGCTGTGGATCCCGGCTACCCGAAGCTGATCACTGTGTGGGTGGGAATCCCCTCTACCCCAAAGGGGGCTTTCCTGAGCTCAGATGCTTGTAAGTGAAGATGCAGGAGACCTTCTGCCCAGACATCCACACCCCTCACAGGATCCCCGCCTAGCTGGGGAATCCTGGCACATCAGTGTCCAAGGGACCGAGCCATGGCTGAGGTAGATGGACCCCAGCTAAGGTTCTGGCTTAGAAGCCACTGGATCAGTGTAACCATACTACTTTTCTTGTTACAGTGGTGGGGGGCCATACAATTTTGGTTCCAGTGAGAGCAAGGACAATACTCAGGTTTCCAGAAGCCTTTCCTTTAACATCCTGACCCCTAGCACCAGGATCTCCTTGGTCAGGGACTGCAGCCCTGACACCAAAGGGTTAATGCAGCAGTAAGATTAAACTATCCTAGTGGCTGCTGGTGCTGAAAAGCAGCCTGGCTTCATCCCCTGAGCTGGGGAAGGACTCAGGATAGCACTCTTGCCCTGGCAGAGCTCCTCTTTCCTAGTTAGAGGAAATCCAATTTCCTCTGCTCCTTTTCCTGATTGCTGGAGCAGAACCTGGCTCACCCACCAGACTGCAGCTCCCTTCAACAGTGCACTGAGCTGTTGCACTTCCCTGTGGGGTGGGGCGAATGCCAGGGGAATTGGGGCATGGCAGGAGCTGGGATACTGGAGGGAGGTGGCTTTGTAGTCTGACGGGGAGTGGCAGGGGGCAGGATACCAGATGAGGCAGCTCCTTAATGTACAAGAACATGGTGAACCCGTAGTGCTCTCTAGCATTGTGGGTGGTACCTCTGGTGATGTCCTTTTTTGGTCTCTTCCAGCCTACACCTATTTCTATAAAGGCACCAAGTACTGGAAGTTCGACAATGAGCGTCTGAAGACAGAGCCAGGCTACCCCAAATCCATTTTACGGGATTTCATGGGCTGCCATGAGGAGCTGGTGCCAGACCCTGACCCTGGCCGCCGATGGCCTGACCTGGACAGGCCTCCCTTCAACCCAGATAGTGGGGGCACTGGCAGTGACCAGGACAAGGAAGAAGGGGAGACTGGCACACGCCCTGGTGGCAGGGAGGAGGAAGAAGAGGAAGAGGATGAAGGAAACGAGGATGAGGAGGACTACAGTGAGAGCGGGCCTGACACGGACAAGGGCAGCGACGTTGACATCGTGGTGCAAATTGATGAGTACACACGGACCATGAGCATCGTTATGGTGATGGTGCCTCTGGTCCTGCTGCTCTGCATTCTGGGCCTCATCTATGTCATCATCCAGATGCAGAGGAAGGGGGCTCCTCGGATGCTGCTGTACTGCAAGCGTTCCTTGCAGGAGTGGGTTTGACCCTGGACGGCCCCTGCCCTCTCCTGGATCCCCTCAGTGCCCCTCCCCCTACCACCATGGTGCTAACAACGAAGCTTGAGAAGACAAAGCCCCCGAGCCATTCTCTCTTAGCCGGTCTATTTATACCGAGATTTTGCACATTGAGTTGGATGCACTCAGCTGGGCCTGCCTGCCCCTCAGTTGCTTTGCCTTGTGTGTGTGGGAGATGCCTCCTGGACCCCTCCTCACCCACCCGGCTACCTGCCTTTCCTCAGCCCAGATTGAGGAGCACAGCAGAAGAACTTACCTGAGGCCCCTTCCTGCCAGGCACTGGGAGCAAGGCAGCCACCCCACAAACCAGTTTGCTCTGTGTCACCCCTCCCCAGTAAGGCAAGCTGGCCTATGCCCTTCAGCCATTGATTTCTTCTGGCTGCAGGCCTGGGCTTAGAGGCTGGCCTTTGAGGGTCAAGCATTTGTTGGGGAAGAAACAAGGAGTTCCTGTGTCTGCCTCACAAGAAACACATGGACCCCAGGCAAAGAGCAGGTGCTGTGCTGCTTCCCCTTACAGAGCCAAAGCCCCAGTGCATTGCTGGGCATTTGGACTTTGTCCCCCCTTCTCAGCTCTCCTTTCTGGTGCAAACTCTGTGCAGCACCCCATCCACGCCTAATGGGACAGAACTGTCAGCACCCCTCAGCTCGGTGCCTCCCTGACAGGGCTCCGAGCCCAACGCTAAGGACCAGCCTCTAGGATGTTTCCAATTGTCCTATGTGTATTGTGTGTGTGTGTGTGTGCGCGCGCGCGCATTGTTTGTCCCCCTAACACTGTGTCCTGCCCTAAAACGGGGGAGATCCCTTCTGTGCGCCTGATAGGCAGTCAGAAGGTCATTCACCAGGGAAATGTCCGCCCACCTCACCCCATCCCCAGCCCACAAGGGATAATAGTGCATCCACAGCAGAACATCACAGGCCCTATTGGTATTGCCCCAGCTGCTGGGCTCCTAAGAGAAGTCCCAGCCCCTATGGCAATATCCAGGAGACCCCCCAGCAAGGGCTTTTGCTTCCCCTTCCCCCTGGGCTTGGTGAGAAGTTGAGGGTGCCAGCCCCAGCCATCTTCCTACATTAGGTGAAGGAGCTGCTCAGTGCACTGATACAGGGGTGTGGGACACCACTGCTCTGTACCCTCATCACATTGCCCCATTCTGACATTGCTAACTTCTAGCAGCATCTTTTCCTCATACTCAGTGCACAGAGCAGCTGCAGGGCTGGGGGTAAGGCCCTTTTTGGAGACCTTACCTCAGAGCCCTCCTTGGGCTTTGGACATTGGGTTTCCATGGTGTTTCCACACCAAATCATAGCAGGGGCTAGTGACATGGGGTGGGAGGTGAAGGTGGTTGTGTTATCAGCTGGAGAACTGGATTTAACACCTGGTTTAGCTCACAGGTGACATGAGTTCAATGGTTTCAGTCTCTAGTGGGAATCTGAATGGGGGTTGGCCTGACTGAATCTAAGTCCCTGTTTTGGAGGGACAACAGGGTTACAATAGCAAGGGGGTGGCAGGGCAAGAGTGAAGGGCATCGGCTGAGCTGAGGGGGACTCAGGACTGGGGTTGTTGCAGGGCAGGTTGAGGGGCAGTGGCAGAGCTGAAGGTGCCAGAGAAGCTGCCTCCACCTGTACTTGCCCCATGCTTCCCTCAAACTGCTGCTGATTATGCTCTTGACCCCTGTCCAGTATAACTCAGTGCTCCTTGGCTCCCACAGCCTGCTGAGCCGCTTTCTGGCTGGGGGGTGCCAGAGGGAGGTGGAGATAACATCATTGTATTTGTTTCCTGTTTAACTGTTTGTAGCTGGGAAACAAGGGGGGGGGGTGTATCCTAAAGATAGCCGAGGTCTTAGAGACCTGGGAAAGCTTGCTAGGAACCAAGTGGCCAGTGTTTTCAGCCCAAGCACTTCATGCTGCTCAATTCCCACTGGGGCCTCCATTGAGTTAGAAGATGCTCTTGTGTTTGAAACCACACACTAAACTGCTTTTCATCTGCTTCCTCCTCCCCTCCTTCTCCTCTGGCTTCCGAAACAAACAGAAACCTCCGGTGACTGTGGGAACAGCTCCGGGAAAGCAGCAATCTTTGCTGCCCAGCCCCCGCTGCCCCCCTGTGCATTGTGGGTAATTGGAGTCTTGACCATACTCTTGCCTGAGAGCTCTCTCTTGAGCAAGAGCAGCTCCCTAGGGTGTGCCTGATTAGATAAAAGTTTCTTGGGAGACTCTGGGGGAGGTGGGATCGAAGGCACTGCCTGGAATAAAAATAGGCATTTTAGAGGCACTCGGGCCTCTGGGGACAGAGTTGAAGAGGCTCTCCTGAGCAATGGCTTGGTCAGCAATCTGGGAAACACCATTGTCATGTGGATTAATGGCCACTATGCAGGTTTCTTACAACTGCTGGAGTATTGAGTCTAGAGCCTTTAAGGAGGTGGTGACGCTTCACCATCCAGCTCTGCCCCATAAGCTGGAATCCATGAGGACTGTGTAGTGGCAACAGGGAAGCAGCAGAGCTTGGTGTCCACATCCCTCCTCGGGAGGAACTGTGGACCCTCTCTGCTTTCCTTCCATCCATTTCCCCATTCTAACACCAGACATGCTGACTGCAGGAGGACGTTTTCTGTGTTGGCTGAGAGGCAGAGAAACAGACCTTGGTGTGTGTCCCCAGTGCATGTAACGTGGGTCAGAGATGGCCTGGCAAAATTTTAATTACCTGGGGCAAGTAAGGGTTATGCTGTGGTTGGGGAGCTATCAGGGGTCCTGTTATCAAGGTAGGGGCTGTTGTCTAGGCTTGTGCCTGGACTAATCCATTTCCATGAGGATGGCCGCCTGTAGACAAGATGAGGGCGTCCTGCCTACAACTCCCTAGAGGCAGTGTTCCGTACCGGGGACATGCAATCAGCAAGGTCATTGCTGGGCTGTACTAAGTATGCTCAGAAACTATGCCAGGTATACTGGTTTCTTCCTGGTATGCATCTACTGGGAAATTGATTATAGAATTAACATGGCAGAATCACAGCCTCCCAGGTAACGGTGGCACTCTAGGCGTTTCAGTCAGCAGAGCACGTGTGCATCTCAGCCCCAAGCTGTCACTTTCTCCTTGGTGTAGAGCTATCAAGGGTATAGAACTACCAAGCAGGGCTACTGCTTGCTCTCAGGAACAGGAGCGGGACTAAGGGTATCTCTTTGAAGGACCCAGGCTCTGCTGGCAACCTCCATCTCATCATGAAGTCTGCCCTCTCTCATTTCTTCCCATCTGTCTCTGTACGTGGGAAAGCTCTATGTCCCAGTTTCTGTCTCAGAGACCAGGAACATGGTCACCTTTGTGTGGAAAAAACTATTTCTGTTGCCTCCTGCCTTGCTCTGGAGCCTTCTGAGCACCGCTATGCCAGAGCCGTTCCTCTCCTTGAGTCTGTTTGGGAGCAGGAGCTGGGTGGGAGCCAGGGGCTTGCATAGTCATCTGTGTTAATGAATGGAAAATTGTTCCATTTTTAATCGCACAGGTGTGCCCTGGAGAAAGTGCACTTCAGGCCAGCATGGCTGGCGTGGCTCCAGGGCTGAGTCCAACTCCCTTCCTCAGCCCTGTCTTGTGGCAGGAATCCCATGCCCTGCCTCCCCCACAAGCAGCTCTCCACTGCCCAAGCAGCACAGCTATCATGGAGCATGTCCAAGCAGAGGTCTTTGCTTCTCTGACCTACGGGAGGGGGCTCCCCAGGGTGATCTCACTAAGGAACCGGATCTGTGCTGGGATTGAAGTCAATTTCCCCCTGCCTCTGAATGGGCTAAAGCAGGATTCAGCCAGAGAAGAGGATTGTGTAGCTGTCTCACAAGCTATTAGGATTACAGGCTGAGTTTGGGCATCCCAGGCTGTCAGCCTGTGTCTACCCAGCAGACCTTGTTTAAATCTAACATCCCCTTGAGGGTTCCTCATTAGGCAGAGAGCCCCTCCATTTACAGTGTCCCCATACATGTCTCCAGGAGCAGTGAAGCATTGACTGCAGCATGGTGTTTCCCAGCCTCACCAGTACAGATGCTCCCACAGCGAGCCTGTGTCTGTGACCAGCTGTCCTTTTCCATCCCTTGCATCTTATCTCTCTACCTCCCCACCCATCCCATCTCTCAGCTTATTCGCTCCATCAGGGCATGGGAAAGGGAAAAAGGCAAAGGAAATGAATGCAGGGGAGGGGTTCGCCCCAACCTCAAGCAGCCCAGCTCCATGGCCTGAAAGCAGGGCATGTGGCTGGAGCAGGCGGCTATCTGATGTGTGCCGCAGCCTGTGGTGAGATCCTGCCAGACCATGTCCTGATCCCCATCTGTTTCTTGTGTGTGTCTGGTTTGTTTGTTTTTTTTAACGTCCATGCTGGTCATGTTAACTGCTCCACAATAAATCTTACTGAAGGGTCTGCAGGCCACTGCCTCTTGCTTCCCTGCAGGGCTCCCAGCAGCCTCTGCAATGGATCTACCATTATCCAGAGTCCATTAAGCCCGAGGTCAGAGGAAATTAGCTGCAGTTCTACTCACTTGGCTCTTGCTCCATCTCAATGCCCCAGGGGCTCTCCAATAGCCCTGTGCTCCATAGTCCCTCCCTCTGCATTGCACACAGCTGGACTCATGGATACTCTAAAAATGGGGGGCAACTGGAGCAATTCCCAGTCTAGGCTGGGAGAGACCAGGCAGGTCCTGCTGCTTCCTATTGCCATGAGAGTGCAGCCCCCTGGCCTTTGACTGCACCAGGCTGTCAGGACAGGGGTGATCCTGATGGGTGCTTAGCAGGCGCCAAAAGGTGCTCAGTACCCTGAAATCAAGAGACCTGACCCTGTGAGAACCTGAGCACCATAAATTCTCACTGCAACTGGTGACTATGGAGGGAGCTCAGTACTTCACAAGATCAGGGCCTGAGGGAGGCAGGGAGCAGGCTGAGAGCATCAGTCACATGCGCCTGCAACCTGCTAGGCTTTGGCTTCAGTGGACGTGGCAGGTGCTCTGCATTGTGTCCAGTTATGTCTGTACTGGATACAGGAATGGCTGGAGCTCTGTCTTGAGAGCTGTGGTAAAGATCTAGCCCAGATGCTTCCAGCTGGCCTGGTAGGGGCTCTTTTCTACAGGAGTGGGACGTAAACCCATTGGGCACCTAGTGCAAGTATCCAGGCCAGGGCAGTGGGGCATCCTTTCAACTGTTCCCCAGTGGGCCTCACACAGCTGGGGTGAGGTGATGGAACTGCCCATGGGTTATAACAGTGCTTGCTGGTCCTATTGAAGGCTGCTCCATTACTCCTGACACCTTTTCCTATCCCAGGTGCCCCAGATTACCCTCATGACATGCTAAGCTGTGTGATAGTGCCACAGTGCTGTAGGGACTAGGGAAGCAGCTATGAGCTCTGGCGATATAGAGACCTGCTCCCACAGGAGCTGGGAGGGGAGGGAAGAGGGAGAGGGGGGTAATATTAATGACTGTGAAAGTGCTATTGTAGCCCTAGATCCTTCTCCATCCAGCCCCTCCACTCCACACACGGACCAGATCTCTCCTGCCAGAATCCTTATGTTTATGAATTAAATGGGTAGTATTTGGCTTCTGTCAGCGTTTTCTGAGCCCAGTGACTGTAACCACGTGCAAATGAGCAGCCAATTTTGGGGTCAAACAGATCTCTCTCTCACCCACACACACACACTCCCCCTCCCTCCCTCCCTCCCTCCCTCTTTCCCCCTGGTTTTCTCCCACTAATTCTCAGAGGTGCTGCACTCCTGTGGCCCACACTGGTTTCCATCAGGGTTGTGGGCACTCAGTATCTCTGGTGATCATGCAGCCCTAGGCAGGAGCCCAGATATCCCTTTGGTGCTGGTCTGAGGGGCGGCAGAGACCATGCTCAGCTGTTGGCCAGGGGAGGGGTTGGAGAGCTGGGTAACAAACTTCAGCAGTGATCCCTGTAGATCATTTTAAAATGCACCATCTAATTCTGTTATGCCACACAAGGGCAGCTGCCAAATAGAGCCTCCCAGCTGGGAAAAGTTAATGGGAAGATTAACCCATTTCTCCTGAAGCACGATTTTCTCCTGAAGCAGCAGAGCTGTATAACTACCAGTATTGTTGGCACTTAGGTACTGTGGTGCCCTAGCCCTTCAGAACTGCTCCTGCTGGCTAAAGGATAAGTAACTGACCCCTAGTATTAGATACTAGTGCACCAATGCATTTGTGGGTGCCCCTCACCAGGGCATTTCTGACCTGCTATGCTCAGGCCTCCCCAGGGGTGGGTCAAGGGTGATGGAGCAGGAGGGAGTTGTTGGTGATGAGGCAGTGACTGCTACAGAGACTGTCTCTTTGTCTGCTTCTTCCTGGCTCTTGGAGATGAAGCTGGCACCTTTCTGGCATCCTTCTCCACTTAGGGCTTCTGAATCCTTTCCAAGGGGAGGGAAGGGGGGCCCTCTCCCCTGAGGTGCTGAAGAGCCATCTTCAGCACCAGCCTGGCCTGGGGAACAGAAGGGGTGTGGACAGCAAGCACAGGAGTCAGAAACCATGAACCTTCCCTGCTGAATGAACCACCAAGTTGGAGCTTGGCCACGGAGCTGCTTCTTCAGGAAGTCACATCAGGAGCAGCACAGACCTGTCTGAATAAATTTAGGTATGAAGGAGTGGCCACTTGAAGGAACAATGAGGCTGACATGGGTCATGGGGGGCCTTGTAAGGAAAGGCTGTTTTTCTTGTGTTTGGCTGCTTCCAAACAATGAGCTAGTGAGGACCAGCCAGCCCTACTGTGGGGGGGGGAAGGAAGCTGTGGGGTGGGTGGAAAGCTCCAGCATTTAACTGTAGCTGTACAAACCCCCAGTGCAGTGTGAAAGGCCAATGCTGCTGGAATTGCTCCCCCTCTGCTATTCCACTTTGAGCCCAGGTCTGCCTAGCCCCTCCCCACCCCTGCCTGAAACCTCCTACCCAGGTCTGCCAATGTCCCTCACTCTCAGTTTCCAACACCCTTTGTTTTTCCAGTCCTGAGCTCCCCCTACTATTTTCCCACTGCACCTCTGTCAGGACAAGCAGGGTCTGCTGTCCCCCCATTTCTACCAGCGCACCTAACACAATCCTGACCTACTGCACCCACCCACTCCTCTTCCACTCCTGGGATCCCCTGCCTGGCTCCAACAATGCCCCTGCATCCCCTTCTCCTAGTCCCACAGCATCCTAGAGCATTCAGTGCCAACCGCACTGCATCCTACCCACTGATATCAT